TCAGAAACCTAACACTTGGGTTCCTAGTATCAGGTTCAAGGCTCACCCATCCCCAAAGCTAATTCTGTTCGCAACACTCCCAGGGGTGTCTAGTTGAACAGAAGGAGCGAGGAAACCTTAGCAGGCCAGAGCCCAGACTGGGGAATTGCTGGGACACCGTGCCAGGGGCCGAGGTTCGCCCCAGTCTTGGTATCAGATCATGCCAAGCGCTACTCTGGATTTCCAGGACTACTACGCAGGCTGGGGTGGAAAGCACAGGTATCCCGATGAGCTCGCCGTAGCGCAGGGCGGGCTCCGTTTAACAGACTCCACACACACAACGACCACTAGCAATGGCCCTGGGATGGGCGTCGAGGAGGGAGTGGGAAGTTTTCTAAAGCTTCTGTGTAACTGTTCCCACAAAGTTTCTTTACTCAGATTCTCTTTTGGACTTGGGCCTCCACACTCTCTGAGGTCTCCATCCATTCGGTCATTAGCAGCTCTTAAGAAACCACTTCTGGGGACTGGAGCGATAGCACAGCGGGTAAGGCGTTTGCCTTGCACACAGCCAACATGACCGACCCAGGTTCGATTCCCAGCATCCCATATGGTCCCCTGAGCACCGACAGGTGCAATTCCTGAGTGCATGAGCCAGGAGTAACCCCTGAGCATTGCCGGATGTGACCCAAAAAGAAAAAAAAGAAAGAAACCACTTCTGTACTTACTTACTTAGACTCTTGGGTTGCAAAAGCAATTTCTCCCCTTCTCTGTTCCCTTCTCTTCTCTCATCTTTCCCGCATCCCCCAAATCTTATTTCTCCTTGCACTGTAGCACTGTCCTCCCGTTGTTCATCAATTTGCTTGAGCGGGCCCAGTAACGTCTCCATCGTGAGACGACTTGTTACTGTGTCTGACATATGGAATATGTCACGGGTAGCTTGCCAAGCTAGGGTCAAAATTTAAAATTGCTCCCACAAACTTCTTTAAAACCCCAAGACTGATTTCTTTCGGGACAACCTGAACCCCCAGTCTCTCCATATTTTAACTTGATCCTAAAAACCGTCCTCCTGACACACATAATAAAGAATTCTGCAGGAAACCCGGGACTTTGGAATCCCAACAACATTCTATATTAAATGCAAAGTGACACTGAGTTTAGCAAAGTCAATATTTATTACATTTCCACATCCCTGCAAAAAGTCTTTTCAAGACTCACAGGGCACTTTTGCAAGTCCTGGGGCTGCCTGGAGTCCCAATCACAAAACACAACTCTTTTTTTTTTTTTTTGCCCAGAAATTGTTAATCCAAAAGTAAACTCCGTACCAAAAAATAAAATGTGTAAACCATGCTTGGAACTGCAGGCAACATACCTATGGCAAACACAGGCAAAGATTTTTTTTAAAAAAAAAAAAAAGCTTCTTTACAGCTTTATAAATTCGAGTCCCCTTTGAAAACTGGAGAGATTTTTTAGGGGTGTTTCCAAAAGGTAATTGCTTCTTACTTCAACGTGGCTTTCTGCGATGGAGGGAGCAGAAAGAGGGAGCCGGCTTTTTTGGTTTGTTTGTATTTGGTGCTTTTTTTTTCTTTTTCTTTTTCTTTTTTTTTTTTTGGAGTGCATCACAGAATTCAATCAGAGAACGGGCTGGGCGAGCAGCAGCCGTGTCTCGAAATGCAACTTCATCCCCGAGCACCAGCGAGCAGGAAAGGCCCCCGGAGCACACGAGCTAAAATGGAGCCGGAATTTCCTCTCCGACCGTGAGGGTAGGCGCGGGAGGTCAGGGTCAAGGTCACCGGCAGGGCCGGCCGCAGCCACCGCCAGCGCTGCCCACAACTCCGGGAAGGCGGGTCCTTCTCCAACGCCGCCGAAACGGATCCAGCCCGGCTCCTCTCCTCCCCTCCCCTCCCACCAACAATTTATTTTATTTTTATTTATTTATTTTTTTTAAAAAAGCAGCGAGAGAGGAGAGAGAGAAGAAAGGAAAAGGTCCAAATAACCTCACCGCCCTGGCTTTCGCACACAAGCTCATCAGCTCCCAAAGTTGCCAACTAAGGGCAAGTTCTCCGACTACGCTGGGGCCCTGGGAGCGCCCGCGGGGCCGGCCCGACCCGGTCCGGCCCGGTCGCCCCCCCGCCAGCACACACACACCCCGCACCCCGGGGTCCCCGCGCACCCCACCGGGACCCGCGCCCGGCCACGTGCGTGCGTGCGCAGACACGCACACACACACACATGCACACAAAAAACACGCGCACACACACGCACACGCACACGCGCTGCACCCACTGCCGCGAGTTGGCGGGCACCGCGGCGCCCCGCAGCCCGGCCCGGGCTCGCGCACGACTCTTCCCTCTGCACACACCTCGCCTGCCAGGAATCTCCTGTGCAGACGGCGATCTATTACATCTGTGATATTATCCTCAGAACCTCTAGCGGGCAGGCGAAGAAGGACGGCACGGAGGGGGCATTTTTTTTTAATTTTTAATTTTTTTTTTAAGCAAGGAAAGAAGAAGGGGAAAGGAAGAAAAAAGAAAGAAAAAAAAAAGAATCACCACCCCAGCAGCCCTTTGCGTAGCGGGAAGGGGGAAAGAAAAAAAGAGGAATGTTTGCCGAGCGAGCTGCCTGCAAGAAGTGCCCCCCTCCCCTCCTCCTCCTCCTCCTCCTCCTCCTCCTCCACCTCCTCCTCCTCCTCCTCCCTGCACGGCGAGCCCCGGAGCCGCCCGGCCCGCGCCCCCTGCCGGTGCGCGCCCTCCCGGCTCCCCCCCCCACCCCCGATTCCCCCCGCCGCGGCGAGAGCCCGAGAGGGCGAGGGGGAGCGGGGGGCGGTGGGGTGCAGGGGTGGGTTGAGGGGGGGAAGATCGATCGCGCTGCCTGTCTGCAGCGGAAACGCACCCGCGCGCCCCGGGCTCGAGACACCGTCACCTTAACCCTTCCCCCACCCGCCGTGAACTTCAGGTGACCGACCACGTCGGCCCGGCCGGGGCCCGGCGCCCGCCCACCCCCCGCCACCCCCACCCCCCTTACCCTACCCGGGCCCCGGGTAGGATCCTGCCGGCGCGGGCTGCAACCCCGCGAGGGGCAAGGGGCGCGCGGAGATGCCGCGGCGGACCCGGCCGGGCTGTGTGTGTGTGTGTGTGTGTGTGTGTGTGTGTGTATGTGTGTCCCCCCACCCACCCACCCACCCACCTCCCGCCCCCGCCGCCCGCCCTCCGGCGCCGCGGGCGTCCCCTCCTCCCCGCCACCCCGCCACCCCGCCCCGCGCCTTTCGCCCCGGCCCCCTCCCCCCCACCACCACCCTGCATTCAAGGAGCCGGGCGGCCCCGGGGGGATATTTTTAGTTGCTTCTTTTTCTCCTTCACTTTTCGCTTTCGCAGCCTCTCAGAAACGCTCCGAGCGGGGCCGGCTGGGGGGGCTGGGGTGGGGGTGGAGGGGGGAGCCGGAGAGGGAGCGGGATGGTGGCGGGGGGTGTGGAAAGTTCAGGAGTCTGGCCCGGGCCGGGCCGGGCCGGGCCGGGGGGCGCCGGGGAGGGGGCCGGGCCCGGCGGGCGCGAGGCTCAGCCCGGCGCGGCGCGGCGGGGCACTTCGGGGCTGGACTCTGCTCGCGCCGGCCCGGGGCGCGGCGCGGCGCGGCGCTGGGGGGCGGGGGGTGGGCGGGGGCGTGCAGGGGGGCGGCCCGGCCGGCTCCGTCTGCCCCGCCTGACCCCGCATTTGATTGCGGCCGGGAGCCCCGCGCCTGCCTCCCTCCCGCCGCCGCCGCCGCGCCGCAGGGACCTCGCGCGCCGCCCCAGCCTCCAGCCTCCTCTGCCTCCTGCCTCCTGCCTCCGCCTCGGCGCAGCTCCCGCACCCCACATCCGCCCGCCGCTGCCCGGCCTCGCCCCCCGCCGCCCGCCCGCCCACCCACCCACACGCGCGCGCACACACACATGCACACACACACACACACACGCACACACGCCCCGGCGGCGCGTGTGCCTCCCCCCACGCCCTCCCCTCCCCTCCCCTCCCCGCCCGCCCGGGGCCCGACCCTCCCCGGCGGCGGCGGCGCAACCTTTAGCCGGAGACGGACCTTTCCCACCCCCCCAGTCCCCCGGATCCCGTCCCGGCGGGCGCCCCGACACACACACCACACACACACACACACACACACACACACACACACACGCCCGCGCGAGCGCCATGTCACTGCCCCCAGCCCTCGGCGCGCCCGACCCCCGCACCCTCGGCCACGGAAGATCCACCGGGGAGGCGGCGGGTGCTGGAGAAACGGGGTGTGCGTGTGTGCGTGCGTGTGTGTGTGTGTGTGTGTGTGTATAGGGCGGGGGGGGGTTTGGGATGGGACTGGGGAGGGGGAATGATGGTGAGGCTAGAAAGGGGGGAGGCACTCAAAAAAAAAATAATAAAAAAGGAGGAAAAAAAATTTCTGCCCAAAAGATCGCAACCTCTCCCACCTCCTCACCCCCCAGCCAGCCAGCCAGCCAGCTTGCAAGCAGCACCCCGATTTTTTTGATTTCAACACACACACACACCCGGGGCATGCACACTTACTCCCCTCCTCCTCCCTGCCCGGGCCCCCTCCCCCCCACCCCGACCCAGCCGGGGCCCTCCGGAGTGCCGGGAGGGGGGGAGGGGGAGGGGAGGGGGAGCGCGCGGGGCGGGGGGGGGAGGAGGAGGAGGAGGAGGAGGAAAGCGCGATGTCGAGGAAAAGAAATAAATAAGAAAGAGGGCGCCGGGCAGGGGGGCGCGGCGGGCGGGCGGGCGGGCGGGCGGCGCGGGCCGGCGGCGGCGGCGGCGGCGGCGGCGGCGGGGAGAGAATGGAAAGGGCACGGGGCCGACCATCACCAACATGGCTGCCTCGGCTGCAACCCCAGACGCCGAGTCCGCCGCGCTCGCCTTTGTCAGCTTCACCTCCGTAACCCTAAACTCCGGCCCGGCGGGCGGCGGGGCGGGCGGCGGCGGCGGCCCCCGGGCAGGGCCGGCGGCGGGGGCGGCCCGCGGGCGGGCGGGGGGCGAGGGCGGGCGACTTACGTGAGGGAAGGCGCTTGGGCTGCTCCTGCTTCCTCCTGGGCATTTTCCCCCGTTTCTCACATTCTCCTCCGCGGCCCGGGCGCGAGCGAATGGAGCCCCGTGGGGGCCGCGAGGCCGAGGCGCACGGGCAGGCGCGGGGAGGGAGTTGGGGGGCGGGCGGGCGAGCGGGCGGGCGCGCGGGCGGGCGGGCCGGGGGGAAACCCCTTCTCGCCGGTGTGTGCAGTGGCTTGGAGCTGGTTTCCTGGAGCCCCGAAGCGCAGAGGGGGGGTTTCTTCTTCTTTCTCTCCTCTCTCTCTTTTTTTTCCTCCTCCTCCTCCTCTCTTTCCTTTCCTTTCTTTGCTTTGCTTTTTTTTTCCTCCTCCTCCTCCTCCTCTCCAATTTTTTTCTTTTCTTTTTTTTTTTTTTTTTTTTTGGTCGTGCACCTGGCTGGTCCCCGAGCTGTGAATATTCTTCAATGGAAACGGCGCGGCTTAGGTGGTGTGAGTGTGTGTGCGTCCCGGGCTCGCGTGTCGGATGGGAGGGAGAAATAAACGAGCCGGTGCGGCGGCGGCGACGGCGGCGGCGGCGGCAGCAGCAGCGGCAGCAGCGGCGGCGGCGGCGGCTCCGGCCGCGCGCGGTGGCTCCGAGCCCCTAACACTAATGTGGGGATCAAAGGGCAGCGGCGGCGGCGGCGGCTGCACAGCTCGCGGCTCGCTCCCCGGCTCGCTCTCTCCTCTCTCTCTCTCTCTCTCTGTCACACACACACACGCACACACACACACACACGCACAGGCACAGGCAAAGAGCGAGGCTGCACACACACACGCGCGCGCGCGCACACACACACACATGCACACACACACACGAACGCATGCACGCACGCGCGCGCACACACACACACGCACACGCACACAGAGCAAAGAGGAAGGTGCCCTTAAGGCTTCCAGGGCGGATTTGCAAGCGCGCCGTCTGCGAAGAATGGGGGGCGCGCGTGCTGCGGGGTTGGGGGGGGGGTAGGTGGGCGGGAGTTGTGCGAACCGCTGTTGGCCAAATCGAGGGGAGCACGGGGAGGCGGGGAGCGGGGTGGTGGGGGGGGACACACGCGGGGAGAAAAAGTTTTTCCCACTCGTTCAACAACAAGGAGGAGTTCATTATTCTTACGGATTGTTTTTTTTTTTAGGAACTAGAATTCTCTCTCTCTCTCTCTCTCTCTCTCTCTCTCTCTCTCTCTCTCTCTCTCTCTCTCTGCTTTCTTTTGTTTATTCCACTGCCTTTTTCTTCTTTTTCTTCTGCACTAAATGCTCAGGCTGCTGCTTCTGCTCCCCGCAACAATTGCTCTCGCCACCGCCTCCCCCCACCCCTCAACACACACACACACACACACACACACACACACACACGCACTCCAACACCTTGTCTGTGTGTACGGATGTCGACGGCCTCCCCTTCCACTCCCCCCCCCCCAACCGCCCCATAAACGTGATTTTAAAATAAAGTCTGGAAATGATCATATAAGGATGAAATCAATAATAAGATTGAGGGAATGGGAGCCCAGTTTGGAAGCGTTCTGGGGCGTTGAAAAGGAAGGGGGGAGTGGAGGGGGGAGAAGGGGGGAGCTACCGAAATGAAAATTGCAGCTCCTTGAGAAAAGGGGGGGAAATAAGATTAGGTCACCCCTGATGGCTGGTTTAACTGCCACACGACATTCCTCCGATGGCTCACACAAGCAATCTTGACTTCTGAAATGTTCTTTCTTCCCTGCCCGAATGCAGGTACGACTGCTTACCCTGAAGCCATCCCAGTTTGCATGAGGAGCCCGATATAGCAGTTTTCATTAACTGATACATACTTTCATTGCTTTACAAATCACACATCTTTCTTCAAAGAGACACATAAAGGGAAAAAAATAGAAAAGGACCGCTCCCTCGCACAAAAGGGACTTGGAGAAAGAGGACAGGTTCTCTTTGTGACTCGCAGTCATTTGGATAAAAGTTCACTCAGAGGTTGTTAATGATTTAAACTCCAAAACCTGCTACTGTAATTGAAGCAAAAAAAAAAAAAGGTCTGAAGAAGAGTTGTTTCATAAAACTCTCTTTGTAAGAGGAAACTTTGAACTTAGCAGAATACATTAGATGTCATGAGTCAGATGTAACTGAAAAATTAAAAAGGTGTATTATTTAACTACATCTTCCCTTTTTATAGCCTTTTTAAATCTGACTCATCATCTTATTATGTTAAATATTTTCTTACCGATTTTAAAATAGGCTTTCTCATCAAATAAGACAGAGACTTGGTGAGGAGATAGATTCACTCTATAAGCACGGGTAGCTAATATTCCTGGAGGTTCTGACTTAATTCTTGCTTCTTGGAGGTGTTGAACACACCCCCTGGGGTTAAATGCCTCCACCCCACTTTAAAATGACCGATATTATATTGCACACTTTTATTTAGAAATGCTTAAAGAGGATTGCGTGTTCCCAAAGATGCTTTCACACATGAGGAAATCGCAGGATCAGCCTACCGACCACTCCCCATTCTGTTCCCACTCACTCCCCACCAAAGATCTAAGTTCAAGGTAGTGGGGAGCACTGTGGTAAGAGGGTTTGAAACACGTGCTTGAATTGAATCTAAAACCAGTACAGAGAGCGGTCAAGTTTAAGATGGGGCTTCATCCTCAAACCCTTCTCCCCTTAAACAAGCGTTTAAGTAAACTCAATTCCTATATCCATCTCCTCATTCCTCCTGCCCCCCCCCATGGGAAAACTGTGAGGACCTGTAATGTGTCTCAGGGGTATCCTAGGTTTCATTCTTGGCACCACCCAAAAAAAATTTTCATAAAATGAGGTCAATAAAATAAAATGGAACTCTCGCTCAACTCAGATCAAACCTAACTTGCCATACCTTTGATTTTGTGGCATTGGATGTGAAGTTAATAAATAAATGACAAGTCAGAACCCATCTATTATAAGCGGGTTCATTACCTGAATGTGTTGGATCTTTCAGGCGAATTGGGTCAACAGAAGGAAAACAACACTCCCCCACTATCCCCTTGGAACCCAAGCTAGGATATAGATTATTACCCTTCACAGACACTCCACCATCTTTTCCTGAATTGTTATGGCTCTTTACAATGCTCTCAACAGTGTAATTGAAAACACACTCTAGGCCTTTCCTCAAAGTAGAGTACATTTCCTGCGACCTTTTAAAGGCAAGCAAAATGCTGTCAACTTTTAATTATGTAGGTGTTCCATCAACAGCTGAAGCATTTTAAAATTGAATTTATTCATATCTCTTCCACTTTCATAAAAAAAATTGTTTGAAGGCGTACACAACCATAGGAACTGGAAATTAGGATGGAACCGTTTCTGTTTCTGTCTCAACTTGGCATCTCTGAGCCAACACACTCCTTCAAGGTCCCTGGGATCTCTCCCTCCTCCATTCCTGTAAGCTTGGGGAACACCAACAAATTCTAAAGTCGGATTCACTGAAAATATTAGGAAGATAGACAATGAGCACTTGTTACAATGGTTTTCAAAATCGAATGAAGAAATAAAGCTAAGAACACGTGCCTTTTGGTTCTTTATACCCAAGAATTGTTAACCTGTTTTTTTTACAGCATTCGTTCTATCGGAATCCTCTGTTGGGTTCACCCCGCCCATCCCCCAGAACCCAACAGTTAAAAGCATATTTTATTTTAATAAAGTACTCCCGCCATCCCCCATCACCTCACCAATGCGAGATTAAAATGTTTTCTCAACTCCAGGCCTTTTCAGAGTCGGGGTGGGCAACCACCCCGCCCCCCATACTATACCTCCCTATAATTCCCGAAGTCCCAGCAGCCACACTGTCCCCACCATGTAAGCTCACTGCCCAGTTTCATAATCTGGATTTTTTTTTTCTGGATTGCACAGTGGCTGTGCAACATCTCTAAGCTCTACAATACGAATGTCCCAGTAGAAGCACATCTGATTGGATGTACTTGACTAACAAAACCTCTAACACAGAAGACTTAACTAGCAGTTAAGTTTAGTAAACTTGAGCTTAGTAAACCCTTAGACAAGGATTTAATGTCCCAATGGTGAGATACAACAATTTTCACAAATCTTCTCTTCCTGAAGTATTTTTTGATCATTCCATTAGTCATTCAGTGGTAACAAGCAACATAAAATAAATTATTTGCAACAAACAGGTGGGGAAAACGGAGACAATGGTGGAGGGTCTGTGCCAGTGGTGGTAGAATTGGTGTTGGCATATTGAAGGCCCTCAGTTAAAAAAATGGGGAAAAGTTTGTAAAGAAAGAAAAGAAAATCTGATTAGCATTAAAGCTCTGCTTTTGTCTCTCTCTCATCTGGTCCAAGATTCAATGGCATGGCATGCTAATTGACAGTTGTCTATAGTCAGTGGGTTTCATCCTCCTACCTCAGTTTAGCATTTGTATCGGCTGGTTTAATCTCGTCATCTATATTTAAAAAAGGATTGACTTGTAGAGAAGTTATTTTGGGTAAATGATATTAACTCTGATTCTATATTGGTTTACCGATTTTCTCTCTTTTCAACTAGAATGTAGTTTTTTTTTTTTTTCGGGTCACACCTGGCAATGCACAGGGATTACTCCTGGCTTTGAACTCAGGAATTACTCCTGGTGTTGTTTGGGGGACCATATGAGATGCTGATAATTATTATCTTATTATCTCATTCTTACTTTGGACAAACCGGCAGGCTACCAAATGTAACCTGCCCACACGGCAGAGTCTGGCAAACTCCCTGTGGCATACCCAATATGCCAAATACCAGTAACAATGATGGGTCTCATTCTCCTAAACCTGAAATAGCCTTGAATATGGCACTTTTAAAAAATCTCTGGGCTAGGATGAAGGAGATGTTACTGGGGCCTGCTCGAGGCAATCAACGAACAACAGGATGGTCGTGATCGTGATAGTGATAGTGAAGGCCCAAAACGAGTCATTGTAAGCAACTTTGTAAACCGCAAGTGCTTAATAGAAGTGGTAAAGGTAAAGGCCCTCCCGTTGATCGTCGATTTGCTCGAGCGGGCCCAGTAACGTCTCCATTGGAGACTTTGTTGTTACTGTGTCTGGCATATGGAATACTCTCGGTAGCTT